TCTGCCAAGGGTAGAAGAAGGGGTGGCCATGATAGAGACATTACACATTCACTCTCTTTGGTCTAGATCTTCATTCTTCTAGATCTATTATACACAGATCTTTCTAGGCCCTCATCCCAAGGAGCTTACTGCTGCGCCCACATGGCCCATTTTTACCAAGCACATACTACATCTATGACTTCAGGATTCAAGGACAGGATGTGGCGTCATGCGTAGGACTGAGAAGTAGCCCAGGGGTTCTGGGAAATCTATCTGGGGGAGCCATGGTGACACCTCCACACACAGGGGGGTTTCTCGGGAGTGCTAGAGTGTGAGTCGTGTCCTGGGGCCTCCTGACGGGCCCTGATTCAAAACAGGGCCACACAGGTGTATTACTTCAGTGAGGTCACACTTGAGTAATGGGATGTGATAGGTAACCTTGACTGTCAACTTGACAGAATTAAGAGATATTTTTCAAGGGATCAGCGAGGCACCTCTGGGTGTGGGGTCTGTGATGACGTTTCTGAAGACAGTTTGATACCTCTGACCTAATCTACTATGAGGCCCTGGATGGATTCACAATGCCACACTCAATGGCAGGAGGTGGGTCTCAGCTGAAGGAAGTGGGCCGGTAGGGACATGGCCATGAGACATTTTACCCTGACCCCTCCCTGTATTGCTCTCTCTCACTCTCTCCTTCCTATTTTCCATGAGGAACCCCTCTCCTCATCCTCATCCACCATGATGAACATGCTCCCCCTCCTCACCTTCACACCTCCATCACAGTCTGCCTCAAGACAGGCCCAGGAACACAGAGCCAGGCAGCCACAGATGACTGAGCCCTCTGAAACGGTGAGTCAAAATACATAATAATTCCTCCCTTATGTTGCTTCTCTGAGGCAATTGGTTAGAGTCACAAGAAAAATAATGCATACACAGTGTCCTGGTTCATCAGGACTGGGACCACATAGAAGAGCCACACAAAGGTAGAGATGCAAGGAGACCAGTGTGGCTGGTGGGGACAAAAGTAGAGGCTGGAGAGGTGCTCCCACAAGCCAAGGGGGTGTTGAATTCATCACGTGCCAGCACGTGTCAGGAGGCAGCAAGCAAACGCTGGCGAGTTCCGATGGGATGGACATTTTGTTTTGGACTTTGGACCAACAGGATAGTGAAAAGCCTCTTGGTGTGTGGTAGTTTGCCACAGAAGCCAACATAGAGGCAACAAGACCAGTTACCAGAAGGGTGGACAGTGTAATGAAGACCGGCAAAACAGACAGGAAGGGTCTGTTTGGGAATTCAAGCTGGGGGCCAGTGTGGGAACAAAAAGCCAGAGATGGGAGGCCTGCAGGTATTGAAACCCATGGCCTCAGTTACCTCCATAGTCTTGGTACAGAACTGAAGGGTGACTTCCCACAACGCTCATGCTGAGTCTTTTCCCAGCATCTCCTGGGGAAGCCCTCAACATCACACCCACAGAAAGCATCTTTGAAGAGGTCAGAGGGGTAGGACCCTAAGCAAGGAGAAATGCAGTGTTCTTATTAATCATAGAAAAAAAGACACCATAGACAAGAGATGGCAAGAAGGCACAGCAGAGACACCCCAGATCTGGGAGAAATAAGTGTGTGTTGTTTAAGCCAGCCTGTGTCTGTGCTAACATTGTTGGCTGATCAAGGTAGCTTTGAAGTCCAGCTAGCCAGGCATCCTGCACCTCTGATGCCTAAAAAGGAAGCCACCAAACAACACCAAAACAAAACAAAACCCCTTAATGTTTTCCATGCGCTGCTCACATTCACAGCTGGGGTGCAGGCAGTCTGTGGGTGACAGTTGACACATCTGATAGCTCACAATAGCCTCAAGGGCTTGATTCACGGTGCTAGCAGACACAACGCCTGGCCAGGGCCAAGACGCTGCCTGTCCCTTCTCAGCTTTTGCACCTCTGTAGGCTGCTTCCCACAGCCTCTGGCCACTTCTACGATTTATTCATCAGTAAGACAGCCCACTGTCTCATAAGACAGCCATATTGGCCCCTGACCAAGCAACAATATAGTTTGACTCTATGGGTTCCAGGGTCTCTCTTGCAAATAATTTTGTCATTGCTGGGGATAATACGGGACTGACGGGAAATCTGAATTGCACTGAATTTTCCTGAGTCGTATTTTTCCTCTTTAGACTATCTTTTCATCCTCCATTACAAAGGATGTAAAAACCACTTTGCAGCCTGGAGCTCGATGACCCCAGGTTAAGTGTGTGGCACTTGCTTGATGTGTGCACCTCAGGTGACCATGTGCAGCTAGGGACAAGGGCTATGGGAGGCTGGCTTTGTGCATATTTGGGGAGCTATGCAGGGTGTGAACATGGGATGGGAGGCGGCAAGTCTCCTAAATTTACAAAAAATCCTTTTCAAGACAAGGTCTTATGAAGCCCAGGCTGATCTCAAACTCATGATATAGTCAAGGATGACTTTGAACTTCTGATGCCCCTGCCGCTAACTCTTGTGTATGGAACTTAGGCATGCACCATGATATCTGGTTTGTGTATTACTGGGGATGGAACTCAGGGCTTTGTGGTATTAGACAAGCACTTAACCCACCTCCTGACCTAAGTATCCTGAATATAGCCACCTACCTAGCAACACCCATCTAGCTTTCCTATTGGCCAAGAAGTCAAGATGCTACAGAGAACAAGGGGACTGAGCATTGGACAGGCTGATTCTCCCCCTCTGACCAGTAAGAGAGAACATGGGCCAAGCAATCCAAGGGGCCCCTTGGAGTTTCTGGCTTAGCTCTGGGGATGGAGACAGAGGAGATGTCTCCAGACAAGGCTAGAATGGACTTGTCACCTCTAAAAACCTGTGCCCTGAAGATCTGCAACATGAGGCAGGGGCAAGAAGCCATTTGATGTTAGTAGAGTGGTAGCTGTGTGACTGTACAGAGTGAGGTGCTGGACGGGCCTGCAGTTAAAGAGGAAACACATCTAACTACATGGCCTCCTCTCTTCTTTCGGCTCAGCGTAGGGTAGAGGAACAGATCAGCCTCAGACGCTTCCTCCGGGAAGACACTGAAGTTCTTTGTCCCAGGATTTAAGTGTTTGCCCATTAAGAGGCTACTGGCAAGCCAGGGCCTGTTAGGGGAGGAAGGGAGGAAGCCAGGGAGGGATGGAATCTGACCCGAGGCACAGGTCTCAGTGGATGTGGAGGTGAGGAAGGAGCAAGAGTGAAGAGGAGACACCTGACCCAGACCTAGGCTCGAGGGACCCAGGTACCGTAAGCGGAAGAGTGAGTTAGGAGCCAAGAAGGCTGGGGCTCTCCCTGAACCAATCAAGTTCTTAATCACAAATGGGTCTTCAGAAATCCTATGTAGCCCAGGCTGTCCTCGAACTTGTTATCCTCCTGCCTCAGCCTCCACAGTGCCAGGATTACAGGTAGGTTGGCACCACACTTTTGTTTCTTTAAGTCTGTGACCCTTCACAGAGTCATGGACCCAGAGCAGGACAGAACCCTGGGAGCTAGGTGACTAGTCAGTCTCTCCTTGTAAAGAGATACCTTCCTCTGACTTCCCTGGGGAACCTGGACCTGTGAAGAGATCTCCCTCTCTAGAGGGCCTCTACTAGGTCATTATTGGCAAACAGTGGAAGCAGATGAGTGTCTTCCAGTGCCTAGTGACGCTTCTGGTTCCCAGTGGCTCAGCCCTCCCTGGCCCTCTCTTCTCTTACCTCCTCTCTTGATACAAAGGCATGGGACAGACTGGAGTTTGACGGACCAAAGAGGTCCTGATGGGATTAAGAGAAAGGAGGAACTAAATTCTAGGTGTTTAATATGTTGCTGGGGCAGGTCTCAGTGCAGCCCTGACCACAAGGATGGGTTCCGGAGGGGGCTTCTTAGATGAGGACACAACTCCTGATAAGAGTGGTCCTTAGAGATATCGGAGCCCTGGGACATAAGTGAACGTGTGTAAAATGTCTCCAAGATGCATGAATGCCGAGACAGAGACACAGATGTCACCTGGATAGAGATGTTCACATGGAAGCAGCTTTGGGTGGGGCCCCAGGTCCCCTGACGCAGGTAGAGGGAGCTTTGCAATGGGGTTTGAGAACAGGCCCTGCAAAAGGCTTGAGGGTGCCGTAGGGTAAGTCTCCCTTGAAGTGTGACCCCTGTCAATCAATCTTCCTGCTTTGTAAGCAGGCTTGGCCCCAGGGTGTGCATCCAATAGGGCCACCAAGCCAGGGGACAATTCTGGATGCTGGGCTGGGTTTCTCTATCCTGCTACCTCTGCTAGTTCTCTGCTTAGGGACAGTTTTCTGGTGTCAAGTCTGATCACTGGAGACAGGGCTTTGCAAATGGGTCTGTAACCTCAGGGCACTCCCTTCCGTTCACTCCATACCACCTGTTCTCAGTATCCCTCAGGAGGGATTCTGTGGTGGGGGAGGGGTGGAGCAGAACAACACAGACCAGAAATGCTTCCATCTCCAGCGGGGAGAGAAAGACAACATGACAGATGGGCTGAGTGGGCAGAATAGGTGGGTGGCACAGGGCCACAGGGCCCTGAGTGGGGAATCTACTCGGAGGACTCAGCACCAGGCCAGAGTAGAGACCATGGAAACTCCACACATGCCTTCCCGACTCAAGCCCTGATGAGGAATGCAGCAGGTGAGAGTCAGGGAGACCTCTGTAAACAGCTATCCGCACACCCATGCAGCCTGCTATGCCTACCCAGGATCTGTATCCATCACCATGAAAGAACCAACTCCAGCAGTGTCAACGCTGCCGAAGAGAATGTACCAGAACCCTCTTTCCACAGCCCCAGTTCTCAGGCCTCAGACTTTGGGGGTGCCACGATTGACGGCCCGCTATAAAGGACCCCCAGATGTCCTATCAGCTGAGAAGCCATGGTGTTCTCGAGTTGCCCAGGCGAGGGTGGGCAGTGAGTTGAATCAGGATGATGTTCTTAGAAAACAGGATGAAGGTGAAGCCGAAGGAAGGTCCCCAGGGAGACCCCCGTGCTAAAAAAGACACAGAGAACTGCCTAGTGTCCTTCGGAGCTGTGCACCCAGGGGCTAGCAGTCACTTCCAGCTTGGAATGGTGCCTCTGAAAACAGAGGTTCACAAGCTTAGCCCACCTCTCCCCACTCTGACCTTGACCTGGGAGCCTTGACTCAAGGGAGCAGGCCTGTCGTTCCTGCTTCCATCCCTGTCCTGTGTTCTGGGATAGCACAGCTGGGACACTCCATAGGTGGGCAGGCTTGTCCAGGTGCAAAGAAAGCTGGAAAACCGTCCACACGTAGACACATGTGCGCGCACGGTCCTGTGAGAGAGTCTGTCCACAGGGCCGTGTGCCTTGGTCTCCACAGCCCAGAGGGGTGGTGTTCAGTCAGCGGCTCTCTGTACCTGCACTGGAACCTCACTGGTCCAGTCTGATCCTAGCTCAGGGGTCCCTGATACTGCCTGAGTAAAGGGGTGCAGGTCCAAGATGCTGTCAGCCTCTGTGGTCTTCATGTCACGGGTCTCCCAGGCTGGGCTGTGTCGGGACCCCCTGGTGGTGAGCCTGGGCCTCCTGAGGTGGCAGAGGGCAGAGCAGGGAAGAAGAGGCGGTTTGGGGGTGATGCTGGCCCATGTCCATGGTCACAGTCTGGAAGAGAGAGAGAAGAAAGGGTGGATAAGAAAGATGTGGGTCCCATCATGCCATCTTTTGTATGCTAACATCTTGTCAGAGAGTGACTTCTGATGGGCTCCTGTCTTTTCCAAGTAGAAGGGGCGTCTGCGGATGAAGGCCCTACTGTGCATTGGACTCTGGACTGGCTGTAGCCTATTCCTGACTTCATTTTAGCCTGGAGGGGTTTAGCTGTGCGCATTTTGTATCCTTTTTTTCAAATCAAAGCTGAGGATCAGGGAGGTTATGTGGTTTGCCTATGGGTGCACAGCTAGGAAACATCAGGGCCAAGATTTGAACACAGAACTCGTTCATGACAGCAGGTAGTCCAGTGTGTAGGCTTGGACAAGTTTGACCACTGATGGGAGAGCAGACCCGCATAGCGGACTTGAGTGACATTGGCAGACCCTCATGATCACGCATGTCCCTTTTAGCATGGGCTCTGATTCCACCACAGGAGTTCAACACACACAGGAGGAATCACGATACAATGTAACGGAAAATTCCACAGGATATCTAGCATCATGGGACACAGGACCACAACTTACCCTGTATCTTTAGTCTCTTCAGTCTGTGTCTAGAGAAGAACCTAGAACACAAGGCTTCCTGCCTCCTCCTTGCCCCATCAGTGAGTTCAAGCCCTTCTGCCCAGGGGCCACTGGGTGCTGGCACAAAGGACCTCTGAATGTTACAGCCCCAGACAAGCAGGGCACTCTTAGAAGGCAGAGTGACACCCATGAGCTGCCTCCTGCCTGTTGATTTCATGGCTGACTCGAAGTGTTACCAGGCTGCCAGTCCAAGGCTGTTACTCACTCCTGGCACACAGTGGTAGCCAGGACAGAGTGAACATTGTTGTCTGAGGTGCCTCACAGTATCCCTGCTATGGGTTTCACTGCCCTCAACGTTCAGAGCATGAAACTGTAGCTCAGAGAAGCCAACGGATGTGCCCAAGTCACAAAGCTATCCACGGCAGGGAGGAAATTCCAACCTGTGTCCATGGATTGTGAACTCTGAATTCTTTCTAATTGCCCAGGAGACGGGTAGGGCCCTGGGGTGAGAAGAGATGTGAAGGGCAGAGGCAGGGCTATCTCCATATGCCTATCTCCTGGGACCTCGAGGGTCTTCATGGGGACCCACGGGGTCCCCACATCTACACATCTGTGTGCAGACATGCCTGGTGAGCAGACAGGGCAATGTTAAATGTGGGTGTGCATGGGTCCTTGTGGGCCACGCAGTATCTCTATGTAATGTCTCATGTTTGTACGTGAATTTGCCTACATGAGCAGGCTTTAGGGTGTACTTCCATTCAGTGCTCCTGTGTACGGAGGTGTGTGTATAACTGAGCGCATCTCTCTCTCTCTCTCTCTCTCTCTCTCTCTCTCTCTCTCTCTCTCTCTCGTGTGTATGTATGTGTGTAGATTTGTGTGGAGTCTGTGTTCACATGTGTGTGCATACCTGAGCTTGTGGGAGTACCTAGGACGGCAATAGGAAATGGGGCCCCCTCAGCAGCCTCCCTCTCAGCTTCCAGGGAGAGCCATCATGGTGGCAGGCTTAGGGAGGGGACTATGGGGTGAGATGTACGTTCCTGGTCTTGGGAAAGCAATGGATCTACAGTTAAGGCAATGGCAAGGAGGGGCATGGACCTTCCTAAGAAGGAAGCCACTGCAGAGGACGATGAACAGCTGGGAGCCCTTCCTGTCTCAGACATTTGCAATGGAGGATGCTGGGAGCTGAGATCTGCCACGAAGGGGGCAGGTGCTGGCCCAGGTAGAAGGGGCCCTGCCAGTCTGGTTCTATAGAGGAGCCCCCAGTCACACAACAGCTGCTTAGACTGAGACATCATCTGCCATCGGGAAGAAATAAGCCAGAGGTCACTGTGCCAGTCACAAGCAGACTCAAGGGTCCCAGTGTCATTACAGGCTCCCCTGAACAGTTGTTGGTAGAGAAGTGGGGTACCTGGGTGATGGGTACATGGAGTGGTGTGGCTGAGGAAAGGGTTGGAGGAGGAGACCAAAAAGGAGACAAAGATCAAAGGGTAAAAGGTCAAAGGGTAAGGCAGTGGGGAAGGTATGGAGGAGAACACATACTCTGCAGACTTCCAGAAATGCCCGGGGTGCGACAGGCGACGGTTTCGCTTTGGCAGTTTCTCTAGCATGTCCATGAGCTTGGTGAAGGTGGGCCGCTCTTCCTGTTCAAAGGCCCAGCAGAAGAGCAGGATATCCTAGAAGAAACCAGTGAGCCATGAGTGGACCTAAGTAGGGACTTTATTAAGTACCTGGGAATCACTCTGGGGCTGGCCATCTGTCTACCCTTCTGCCCACTTTACATCCCTCCATTATCTACCCTTCCATCCACCTACTCAGCATCCATCCATCTACTCAGTAGTCACTATCCCCACCCACCCACCCATCTACCCATCCACACATTCATCCATCCATCCACCCATCTACCTACCCATCTATCCATCATCCAGTTGCCAGCTACCAACCACCTACCCACTCATATACACAGACATCCCACCCACCCACCCGTCCATCCACTCATTAACTACCACCCACCTACTCACTATATACACAGCCATCCTACCCATCTATCCATCAATCTGCCTACTATCTATACATCCATCCACATCAACTCAACCATTAATCCTTCATCTAGCAACTATCATTCATCCATCACCCATCCACACCACCATCCATTCACCAAAATACACATACCCATCCATCATCCATCCATCCACATGAACCCATGCTTCTTCATTTACCATTTATCCATCCATCCATCCATCCATCCATCCATCCATCCACATGAACCCATGCTTCTTCGTTTACCATCCATCCGTTCATACACACATAAATTATCCATCTATCTATCTATCTATCTATCTATCTATCTATCTATCTATCTATCATCTATCTATCTATGTATCATCTATCTATGTATCATCTATCTATCTATCTATCTATCTATCTATCTATCTATCTATCATCTACTCACCACCAGATATCTATCACTCGCCATCCACACAAGATTCCATCCAATTATCCATCTAGCTACTGTCCACAAAGCGTGAATCCTCATTCACTCACTTATTTCTCTTCTTCTGCCATCTAGCTACTCACCCATTCACTTTATCCCCCATTCTCACCCCTCCCCTTTTTTCATTTACTTGACTGGCCATTCTAGTAATCTAGGGAGGCTCGTGGCAAGGAGGCCTGAGATATATGGAGACCAATAGAAGCTCAACAGAGTTTCTTGACAGTTTTCTTGAAAGTGAGGGATAGAAGGAAATCCTGAAGTCTCTAGCTACATCCCACTTGATTAGCAGATGCCTCTCAAAGTTACAGAGGAGAGAGGCTAATTTTCACCATATCCTTGTCCAGGAAGAGGAGCATGAGGGCAAGTGGTCATGTTGAACACCTGAGGGAATTACTGCTTCCCCAACTTACCTGTCTTCTGACCAAAAGAGAGATTCTCCCCATTGTGTTAAAGAGAAAGAGTACTCATTTGTCATTAGGTTTCTTGGTGTCTGTCTAGCATACTCTGAGTTAGACAACAGTTTAATACTATTGTTGGACGTAAGTAAAAATAAGTGATAATACTGTTTGTGATATTTTAATGACTATTTTTTAAAAAAATAACAAGGTATTCGCTGATTTTTATCTGAAACAGCAATCCATTTCCAGGAGGCGACCAAGTGTTACTGCGCCCCTGGTGGCAGGTACCTGGAATTGCAGGCATAGTGCTGAGAATTTGCCCTAAATTTGCCTTAAAAGCTCCAAGCAAGTCACTCTCTGGGAAAGCCTCTATAGCTGTCACACACAGGACCCAGAAATCCCAGGACTGTGTCTGCTTCTCTCCTTGTCCCCCAGACACAGCCTCTCATGGGACTTACCGAGATTTCTTTTCCCATGCCAATCTGGCTGAGGTTGGGTTTCATGCCTGCGCCCATCTGCCAAATTATTGCCTCTGCTGGTTGAGTCTTGAATGGCCACTCCCTGGCGTGGAGCTCATACCAGATGGTGCTGTCAGGTAGTGGACACAGTTAATGAGGCATTGCTGTGGTGTGTCATTTGTGACCTAGGTACCCCCCTCTTCACCCACTGTACAAACAGTGGTAGCCTCCTGGCTAGTTATTCCCTTTGCAGTCTCTCCCCAAGGGGCTGCTGTTATGTCTAAAACCCTCTTGAAGTTAGTCATTAGGTTTGTTGTCCCAGAATACTTTTACTGAGACCAGGATGGATACAACTCTACCTGAATCATTTAACACAAGGTGGCGGCCATTTCTGACCCTGTTACTCACAACTCTAGGAAACAACTGCATTTGAATACTTTATTCACGAGGTTGCTCTCTATGGCCTTACATAAAATACCAAAGAGGGTACACATAGCCTAACATCTCAGCAGTAACCAGCAGATGTATGTACTATAGCAACTCCTTAAAATGAAACATCGCAGCATTATCTTGAGACTATTTGCAAGACATTTTGCTAGCATGAAAAGTCCTCAGTAGATCACCCTAGGTGTGGACAACAGGACGATGAGTGTGTGCAGGTCTTTAAAAATCACCACATACGCATGGATGGGGAAGGCTCAGGAAAGCAAACAATGTGCCGATGAGGGGCAGTGGGATGGGGAGCCCTGACTCCCATAGCTGCTCACGGTGAGGATGAATCACAGTGTGGACAGAAAGAAACATGTAAAGACTGTGACATGATGCAGACAGGCCTGAGTCTACACCAGTGGGAAGATACGGTGCAAGCCACGCCCCTTCTCTATGCCCACGGAAGGGTGGCTATGTGGGACACCAAGCATCTGGACACAGTGCTAGGATTACTCTACGGATACTTGCCATGCCGTACATCCCGTAAATCACAACGATGCACTAAGGGAGAAAGGGTGCCAGTGGTGAGCTTGGCTGCGGACAGGGTGATGGCCGGATGGCACATAATTGCCAACATGAAGTGCCATCAGTGATGAGGATAGTGGCAGGTGACTTTGGGGAGGCTCGCATGTCACTGTGGCCAAAGATCTGTGTTCTCTAAGAAGCAGGTCTCTCATCTCAGGAAATATCACAATAAAAATGTTTCCTCTTCCACAAGGAGACCTCTGGGCTTCCTTTCCCCTCCCCTTTCCTGAGACAGGTGTTCTCTGTATAGCCTTGGCTGTCCTGGAACTCCCTTTGTAGATCAGGTTGGCTTCGAACTCACAGAGATCCGCCTGCCTCTGTTTCCCAAGTGCTGGGATTAAAGGCGTGCACTACCACCACCCAGCTTCTCTGGGTTTTTCTTTAAGGAACACAAAGTCACCCTGTCATTCTCTTGACTGGCCAAGGACGGTGTCAACTCATGTCTTCACAGGCAAGTTTATTTTATTTAAAATTCTGTTTTATTTTGAATGAAGTGTTATGGGGGGGTACATGCCCATCACCGTGAAGGTCAGCAGAGGGTGTCAGATATACTGGAGCCACTGTTGTGAGCTGACTGGTGTGTGCTGGGAACCAACCCTTAGACTTCCACAGGGCAGCAAGTACTCTTAGCCATGTAGTCCTAGATGGCCTGCAACTCACGGAACCACCTCTCTAGTCCCTGGGTGTGCTGACCAAATCTGAGCTGAACAAGGGCACCAGCAACAGTTAAAGTGGACAGGGGAAAGCCCAGGAGGCCTCAACCCAAACAAAGAACTGCAGGCAACTAAAGAGAGCAGGAGACATAGTCTTCCCCGGGGAAGAGCACACCAGTTGGTAATCCACTACCAAATGGTCAGCTCTGAAAACATGCAAGTAACATTATACAGGCTGAACAGGTTACATTACATTTAAGGATATAAATGTGTGTGTCATGTGTGTGTGTGTGTGTGAATAACAATTAATGGAAAAAGAGGCTATAAATTTGTAAGACATTAAGGCGGGCTGCACGGGAGAGTTTAGAGGGAGGAAAGGGAAGGGAGAAATGATGTAATTATATTATAATCTCAATTTTTAAAGTTAAAATAAATATATAAATAATACAATAAAAAGATATTTTCTGTGTTTTATTTTCTCTGTTGCTCAAGATGGAACCCAGCGTCTCACCCGTGTTGTGGTTACGCCTTAAGGTTACGTACGGTTAACTCACTCAACCACTGGCTTCAGTGTAGAAGCATGAAGCTCAGTTTGATTGACAGTCTTTGGAGGAACTCGGGTTTGGTCTGGTTTTTAATTGCTGTGTGAGAACCCAGAGCCTCGTACATGCTAAGCAAGCCCTCCGTGCTGAGCCTCATGCCTAATGCTCAGTGTGTCTTTTTATTCCAATGCTTTGATGAGCTGGCAACTTGCTAGCCTTGGTGGGCCATCCCTGCCTAGGGGAACTGACTCCTGCAGATAAGAAGGGACTGACCCGGGAGTGTGCCTTTCACAACAAACCAACAGACTCAGAACATCCTGACCAGATGTTCACCATGTCTGCTCTTTAGTTCCTTCATCCAGAGCCCAAGAAATGATTTCAGTGCACTGATTGTTTTTTACTCTCTTTCTTGTGCACATGTGTTCATGTGAGCACATGTGTATGTGTGTCTGTGCTTATGTGCCTACGTGCACATGCATGTGGATGCCAGAGGTCAACCTCAGGTGGCATTTCTTAGGTATGCTCACTTCGTTTGCTTGAGACAAGGTCTCTCTATGTAGCTCTGGCTGGTCTCGAACTTACTATGCAGACCAGACTGGCTTTGAATTCACAGAAATCTGCTTACTTATAGCTCCCGAGTGCTGGGATTAAGGGTGTGTACCACCACCCAGCTTGTTTTGTAAGACAAGGTCTTTCACTGGCCTGGAACTCATCAGTTCATCTAGACTGGCTATTGAGCTCCAGGGACCCACCTGTCTCTTCTTTTCCAGTGCTGGGATCACAGGCATGCACTACCATACCCAGCTTTTTATTCAGGCCCCCACATTTGCATGCTACACCCTTAGGACTGAGCCGCCTCCCCTGTTCTTGCAGAGGTTTTATTAAGCTTAATCTGCAACAGAGAGAAGCTAGCCTTTGAGTGTGGTTCACTTCCAGGTCTGTGGACTGCTGTGTTGCCCTGAACAGCACAGAATTAGGGTGGCCCTGGTCTGGACCCCGGCTCTGCCACCAGTTGCAGCACAGCTTGTCACAACCATCATCGATCCAGGCCAGCATGTCCCACCCCCGCCTGAGAAGGTGTTTGGGAAGACAGTACGCTACCACACACAACAAAAGCTCAACACAGCCTTCAGTACATTTCCACCAGCGTCTTTATGCTCTAACTCATTCCTGAACATGAGGTTCCCTGGCAACGGGATGCTTCTAATTGGCGTGAGTCCGAGAGCACTGGGTCCATCGCGATCCAACAGTGTCACCAATAAAAGGCTCATTAAAACCTCCTTCCTAACACAACTTTTAAGAGGAGGACTCACTTTGAGGAGTAAAAAAAAGAAAGTTACAGATGAAAATTGTGGCGAGAAACCAATTACTTACTCTAGTACATTTTGTTAATTACATTTTTTTCTCTCGTTAAATTCACGATAAAAATAAACCAACTTAATTACTGTAATTTGGTTCCAGATAATGATATCTAACTAGATAAAGATTTGGGAATTAACTAGTTAGACCAAGTGATGGCTTCTCAAGGGGCTCAAATGATGGGCTCTGAGGATTGAGATCTTCTGAAAATGCACAGTCGGGGGCCCACAGCGAGGGCACAGTGGGGTGCTTTTCTACGGGAGGCTGACTGCCTCTCTAATGCGCCTCAGGGATGACAGGTCTAATTGCACAAATCTACAACCTTGCAGCTTCCTTGGTTAGTGTCTCTCCACTCTTCGAATCCATCCCATAAATCAGCCACGGATCTTCATGGCTATTTATGGGATGGGGACAGCTATTTCCTGGCTGCCTTTTCTCATCTAGTGGTGGTGATGTGTGCATATGCATGTGTTACATGTGCTCTTGAGTGTATGTAAACTCCACCTAAATATACATGCGCAAGTATGTTCAAATGTATGGAGATCAGAGAGCTTGCTGGATCTCTTGCCTCAATTTCTCGCCACCTTAGTATTTTGAGTCAGGGTCTCTCACTGGGCCTGGAATCACTAATTCACCATCAAGCTCTAGGGACCCACCTATGTCTGCCTTCCCAGCACCCAGCCACCCAGTTCTTTACATAGTCAATGGGGTTACAAACTCAAGTTCTCATGATTGCATAACAAACACTGACTGACTGAACCACCTCCCTAGACCCTTCTTCTTCTTCTTCTTCTTCTTCTTCTTCTTCTTCTTCTTCTTCTTCTTATTATTATTATTATTATTATTATTATTATTATTATTATTTATTAATCTGTAGCTCAGGCTAGCCTACAAACAAAGTGGTTTTCCTGCCACAGTCTCCTGCATGCTGGTTATAGGCACACCATACTGTATATTATTCCCATCTCCTGGTTGGACCTTCTGAGCGCTCTGCCTGGCGTCCTGAATCTAAGTCTTGGTCTCTTTCCATCCTCCTATGCTTCTGAGGGCTTCTCATTCTTCCCTATGGCTGCAGGTGCTACTTCTTGCCTCACAAATGCCTCCTTTTCCAACTCCAGATGTGGATTTGCCCAACTCTGTTAATTATCTCCAAAGCTGCTCAATTTTTTTTTTAACATACCCAACCTTTTTGTATAACCCAGCCACACCTTGCTTCCAAGGTCACTACCATGGAGAATACCACTGTCCTTCTACATGCCGATGGCAGCTCTCTTGGGACCCCTTCACTAAGCCCCAGCATTTATACCCTGTAAAGATCTCTTTATTTTGAGCTTGTACCCACAGCTTCTGATTCATGGAAACCCAGCCTTCACCAAGCCTTTCTCCATTCATTATCTGCAGAGCAGCCAGGGTGACCTGGTTGAACTGGGGCTCCTGTGACAGTCACCCCACTAACCTATTTTATAACCACCCATGGCTCCCTAGTGCCTTGAAGATAAAACTCCTTCATGTCACCATTAAGTCCACGAAGGCTGGACACTGCTTTCTTCCTTTGTGTCTAACCCAAGCCCTATTCCCAACCTGAATCTTTATCCATCAGTACCTTCCGCATGGCTACTTAGTCCTCCATTGTAGATGAATGACATACCTTCCCTCTGGAGTCTCCCTGTATCTAATCTCCGACTCCAGCTTCCGGTCACTTCCTGCTGGAGGCTCTCCCTCGCCTCACAGGCTGGTACCCGCATTCTCTTTTACCCCCAGAGTCCTGCCTTCATCCCCAGTGCAGCATCTCTCCACAAGGCAGAGTAGAGTGAGCAAAGAGGCCAAGGCAGGAGGGCAGCTCAGAATCTTAGCACTAGCCTGGCACACACAAGTCTTTGGGTCTCAGTCCCAGGAGCTGGAAAAGCAGCAGTCAAAACAGTTCTGAAGCTCCTTCCTTCCTGAAAACGGCAGAGATTCTATCTCCTGTCCTCGAGGGCCACCTACACTTAGCGGCTTGCCTACAGGGCGCATACGTCAGAAGGAGACTGCACATTCCATGGAACTGTAGCCACTCCTACTCAGGATACTTGTGAACCCTTCTGAACTCAACGAAAGTTGTAAGGCGACAGAGGTGTGCATTGCCCAGGTTTCCATCATTATGTAAAGTACACACCTGTCAAAGTATCTTGTTACATGTAAATACATCATTCAAAAAGAAAACTTAAAAAAAACAACAACATGGCGGGAGCGATGCTGTCTAACACTCTGACTCAGCTCTGCACCAAGGCTCTTAGCTGCCATGCTGGGAGCTCACCAGAGCAGCCTCCACAGAGCAGAGGAGACCACTTCCTGCTGGGAGCTCACTGAAGCGCCTCCCCGTAGCAGGGTGGACGGCTTTCCACAGTGGAATGATCATGGGCAGCCACCTTGGAAGTGGCTCACGGGCACGCGATACACAATGAACACTGCAACAATGAGTTGGTATACAATGAACAAATGAAGGAATGAAAGAACAATGAATGAGTAGGGAAACTTGTCATGGTCCCATAACTGAAACCAGGCGTACGAGTGTGCAACAGTCATTCTTTCTACTACATCCCCAGGTCCCCCAAATTCATCCATAAATCCCACCACCTTGCTCTTACCAACATTTGTGCCCCGACTCTTCCAAAGGTGATACTAGGTAGTGGCTCGGCCCACTTACCCAAGCGCAAAGACATCTGAGTGCTTGGAGAAGGGGAGCTTGTCCTCTTCTGTGTCAGGGGACAGCTGGCGGATGATCTCTGGAGCCAGGTGACACAGCCAGCCATTCTGGATGCGCAGTTTATCTTCTCGCCTGCAGAGAGGCAAAGCCCCGAGAGCTTTGTTTTGTAGCAGTGACCCCAGGTCCCCGAAACACCTCTACCAGCTTCCTACCCTCCTCCCTGGGCATTCCCTGGCCCTCTATATGAGGCTGAGAGCCAGACCGAGGTGCAGGGAAAGGAATGATGGAAACCAGCCCAAGCCACCCTCGGGTCCACAGTCTCTGGGCCCTCTTGCTTATCCTCGCTGGATACTGTCCATTCTTGTTCCTACACGTTGTACTCTGCAGTCTAAGGTTGCCTCTAGAGGAGCTGTGCTGGGTGGTTTGTGTGTCAACTTGACACAGGCTAGAGCCATCAGAGAGGAAGGAGCCTCAGTCGAGAAAATGCCTCCATGAGATTCAGCATTCAGCTGTAGGGCATTTTCTCATTTAGTCATCAATGGGGAGGGCCCAGGCCATGGTGGGTGGTGCCATCCTTAAGCTGCTGGTCCTAGGTACTATAAGAAAGCAGGCTGAGCAAGCCATAAGGAGCAAGTCAGTAAGCAGCACCCCTCCATGGCCTCTGCATCAGCTCCTGCCTCCAGGCTCCTGCCCTGCTTGAGTTCCTGCCCTGACTTCATTCAGTGATAAACAGTGATTAGGAAGTGTAAGCCAAATAAACCCTTTCCTCCCCAACTTGCTCTTTGGTCATGGTGTTTGATTGCAGCAAAAGAAACCCTAAGTCAGGAACTATGCAAGACCTCAAAGTTTAATGCCTCAAGTCCCCCAAATAGTCCATTCTAGTAGATCTGCAATGGTGAACAAGACTGACAGGAAAAAAGCCAACGAGGATGATGCAAACAGGAAAAAGGCCACACAGTGGCAAACATCACACAAAAAATCACAACAGAGGCACAGGTCCAGGCTGAGGACACATCTGAGACAAGCTTTATGTGGCAGAGAACCCCACCATGGGAACAAAAGGAATATCCTAGCCAGAGGGAAAGCTAGGTCAGAACCCATGGAGGTGACCTCAAGGAGGGTTCTAGAAACCAAGATATGGAAGTGCATAGGAAGGCAACATGTACCCTGTGTTTGAACACGGGTTCTGGTAGGCGGGCTCTGTCCTTTCCCCCATTAGAAACAAGAGTGCACTGAGTATCTGTGGGTAAATGCTGTCACTGTCCTTATGTATATCTGCCACTGTTCCCAGGGTAAAGGCCAGAGGAGGAGGAAAGCAAGGTTGCTCCAACACCTTGCAGCAGATCAGAGTCTTCCACTGGGGACAGATGACTAAGTGGCCCTTGCACAAAGTTTTTTCTTCCTTCCTTCCTTCCTTCCTTCCTTTCTTTCTTTCTTTCTTTCTTTCTTTCTTTCTTTCTTTCTTTCTTTCTTTCTTTCTTTCTTTCTTTTGTATTTTAAATTTTTTTTAAAAAAATCTTTTCTCATTTTATAAACCAATCCCAGTTCCCACTCCCTCCCCTCCTCCTGCTCCCTCCAACTTTCCTCCCTGCCCCAACCACTCTTCAGAGAGGGTAAGGCTCCCTGTTGGGAGTCAACAAAGTCTGGCATAGCAAAGAGTAGGAGAAGGGGCTGTTAGCCAGGGAGCATGAGTAAGAGACAGGTACTTCAAGATGACAGCAGGAGGCTTACTGTCTGGGGGAACTGGGCTGGCTGCATCCTACAGCTCTTCCAGGTGGGCTTCCCAGCTCTAGGAGGTGTGTGCACTGGTCCTTCTAGGGCACTCAGTCAGACCCTCCCCATCATGACTTCCCCCATGTCTGAACATCTTCAGGGATGGCGTTTTTCTATCTTGTCTCTCAAATGTGCCAGCCACCAATTTCTGTGACTGTCTCACTCTTTAAAGGTGGACACTACGACCAAAGGATGGATGGATAGATAGATAGATAGATAGATAGATAGATAGATAGATAGATAGATAGATAGATGATAGATAGATAGATAGATAGATAGACAGAGACACAGAGACAGACAGACACACACATGGAGAGTTTGTGTGCTCTTGAGATATGCCTAGAAGACAGAGGACAATCTGCAGAAACTGGTTTCCTTCTTCCACATCCTACGGATTGAACTTGGGTCTTCAGGCCACATTTATTTGCTGACCCATCTCACCAGCCCCAAGGACTGAACTCTAAATTTAATTCCACTTTGATTTTTTTAACTATATCTAGTGTCTGTCTGTCTCTCTCTCTCTCTCTCTCTCTCTCTCTCTCTCCACACACACACACACACACACACACACACACACACACACACACACCACAGAACTAATGTGGTTGTTGGTCAGAGGATGACTTTCGGGAGTCATTATCTCCTCTAGCGTGATGGCCACAGGGATCAAACTCAGGTCGTGAGGCTTGGTAGCAAGTGCATGTACCCACTGAGCCATCTCACAGACCCTGATTCCACTTTAACTAAAGTTAAATCTGCATAGACACATCTGCCTGGCCAGTGGCCCAGATCTAGATAATGATTTACTAAAACCAATTTTTTAAAAAAAGAAACTTAAATATATTTTAATAAGTGACTTTTAGCAGTTATAAATAGAAACTAGTATTTTTCCAATGCACATTAAAATGAAGACAGAGAGTGCTTGTCCGTTCTCTCCTTAAAATCCACTCACAGCTTACACACGCTCAGAAACCCTGGGCCTAAAGGAAAGAACTCCTAATGAGGTGGCAGGAGTTTGGGGGTTCAGGGTTCCACTGCTGATGCATTTCCTATGTAGGTGAAGGAAGCTAGAGAAACCCTAGACCTGCAGTTCTCCAAGGCATTCTTATTTTCCAGAGGGTACACACCATCCATCTGGATAAACACAGGTATTGAGAGATCCCTAGACAGGGGCTGAAGGGAGGAGGCTGAGGTAGGGGATCACTGAGCTTCCGCCCTCCTCACTCTGTGTGTGTGTGTGTGTGTGGGGCTCTCCTGGGGTGCCTCTCCATCCAACATTGGGGCCATCTGTCCACTGCCTAGATTTCTACACCAGGAGCCAGACACAGTCAGTGGCCACCGTGAAATCTATTTTAACTTGGGGCTTTCCATCCTCGGTGTTATGTTACTGTGGGTGTTACTGTCAGGTGGGGCTATTCTGTGTTTGTACCATGTTTTGTGGCATCCCTGGCCTCTACACAGCAGTTGCTGGGAACACACGCATGCACACACACATGTACATGCACACAGACACACACGCACGCGCGCGCGCACACACACACACACACAACCCTAGCTGTAGCCAGGAGGAATGCCTCCATACCCATGAGAAGGAAAAGTTCTTCATTTAATACACATTAGAGAAGAGAACGGCCCGGATTCCGGGGTCGAGAACGTCTCCTCTACTGGGAATAAACAATGTGGTAGTTTATGCCCTTTACTGATACATGGGGCCCAGACACTTTAGCAAACCCTGAGGTTGGCAGAGTTGATGGCATCTTTCTCCTTGGGATCAAGAACACCCGCTGACATTTAAGGACGTAAAGACTCACTTGCTGCTTGTTAGCTGGGAGGTCTCAGGCACACTCTGGTCTCTATTTTTCCACCTGCCAAAAGGGCACGTTCATTTGTACCTCAGATGGCTACAGCAACATGAAAGTGTCCAGTTTAGGGCTATGTCTACTGCCAGGGCCATATGACTACTGGCTAGGAATTACTTGACACTATATCCCACATGCATATCTGTTCATCTGGAGGACTGAAGCCAAAATAGGGAAGTCTACTGCGCAATGAGGAACTTAGTGGGGGTTAGCCAACCTTTCCCAGACATGGCCACTCCTCACAGGGGCCGACAAGCTGGGAACCACTGGGACAGGGGAGGGTGTGTCAGACACACAAGTGCCGTTAGCCCGGGGCTGGGGTAGGCACCTGCCTAGGAGAGGGTTAGGAGTCGGCCCTGGTGCATACACCCCAGGGTGTCCCGTTCCCATGGCAGCGGGCCCACCAATGACGAGTCCGAATCATCCTCATTATGGTTATTATTATGATTAATAACAGGTTGTGGGGGCTGGCACGGTAGGGCTGGCATCTTAAACGACACTTTGTCGTGAGGGTGGCAGAGCAGCTGTTTGTGGGGATCTCCACGGCTACCTCTTCGCTTCCGGTCCAGTGGCGTGTTCTGGGAAACAGCAGCCTTGGGGGGTCTGACATCCTGGGACTGTTATTTCAAGGATGTTACTTCCCTGTATGCAGGCCCGTTACCACAGCTCCACCCGCTCTACAGGGTCAGGCACATGCTCAGTGAGCTCAGTCCCTATCATCTATCTTGCAGTGTTATGGACTAGGATTGTCCCCCAGACTCTCGGGCTAAAATCTGGACTCTCAATGTCACCGTCACTAAAGGCAGGACTTGTGGGCTCAGGATTTAGTTTATACGACATAGAAGCAGGAGGGACTATTGGGGAGAGAGAATGGGCCAGAAAGAAGGGAGACACCAAAAGAAGTGGGGAGGCAGCTAACTGGGCAAAGCTCCCGATACAAAGGTGAGTAAATACCATACAAAAACCATCGTTTGGTGCAATGGAGATACACCAGTAATTTATTCTGTCTTATGTGCTAATTTTTAAACTTTTGAGATTACATTTATTAATTTATTTGTGGGAGTGTATGTGTAGGTCAGACAGCATCTTGTGGCAGTTGGTTCTCTTTTTCTATCACGTGGATCCCAGGGGCTAACCTCAGGCCATTAGGCTTGGCCATCTTACATATATAGATAGATATACATAGATAGACATACACACACATGCACACACACACTCTACTGTATGACAGTTTTACACATATAATAAAATAGTATATATACATATATAATAAATATATATATGTATGATAAAGATGGGGGTTTTAGAGAGATAATTAAGATGAAACAAGGCCTAAATCCACAGCCCTAAGCAACGGGACCGTTGTACTTAGAAATTGGTGGTTTGAATAAGAATGGCCTCCACAGACTCATATATCTGAATGTCAGTCACTAGGGAGTGGAACTATTTAAAGGACTAGCAGGATTAGGAGGTGTGGCCTTGTTAGAGAAAGTGTGTCACTGGGGGTGGACTTTGAGGTTTCAAAAGCTCACACCAGGCTCAGTGTCTTGCTGCAGGCAGCTGTAGATCAGGATGTCGCTCAGCTACTTCTGCAATGCCACGTGTAGCACCATGCTCCCTGCCGTGGTGATAAAAGACTAAGCCTATGAAACTGTAAGCAAGCCCTCAACCAAACGCTTTCTTTTGTAAGAGTCACCTTGATCACAGCAGTAGAACAGCGACTCGGACAGACAAGGACTGTGGGATTGCTGCCAGGCCTGACCATACTGTGTATGGGGGGAACATGGAGGACTTTGGAACTAAGCGGGGCTAATGAGCCATCCTAGTAGGAGCATGGAAGGCAGTGCTGAGGGCGGTCTGACCTGTGGGAGCCCAGCTCAACCAGTTCCGGAGGGGAAGGATACCAGCCACTGGACTGGAGACTATCATTGCAACAGTCTGGCAAGGCATGTGGTCACTTTTAGTCCTTCTCCTAAAAATCTGCCTGGGCTAAATCGAAGAGTTTTTTTTGGGGGGGGCATATACCCAAGAGAGGCCTTATCATACAACAAAAGTATATGCTCTACTATGTTCATAGCAGCATTGTTTGTAATAGCCAGAACCTGGAAACAACCTAGATGCCCTTCAAATGAAGAATGGATGAAGAAAGTATGGAATATATACATATTAGAGTACTACTCAGCAGTAAAAAACAAGGACTTCTTGAAGTTTGCAGGCAAATGGATGGAAATAGAAAACACTATCCTGAGTGAGGTAAGCCAGACCCAAAAAGAGGAACATGGGATGTACTCACTCATATTTGGTTTCTAGCCATAAATAAAGGACATAGAAGAGTTTTGGATTAATGGCTTTGAGATATCTAGCAGCTCTACAATGAAAAGGAGCAAGCTGGACAGGGAGAACTACAAAGTGGACAGTCTGAGGAGAAAAGGAGCACTAGGACATGTAATGGAGCCAAGTCCTGTGGTCACCTCAGGGTGGGACCCTACTTCACATTCCTCAGAAAATGGCACCAATTTCTGTCCTGGTCAGGTTTACTATGGCTGTGATGAAAAGCCATGACCAAAAGCAATGTGGGGAGGAAAGAGTTCACTTATACTTCCTGTCACCGTTCATCATCAAAGGAAGTCAGGACAGGAACTCAAGCAGGGCAGGAACCTGGAGACAGGAGCTGATGCAGAGGCCATGGAGGGTGCTTCTTACTGGCTTGCTCCCAAGGCTGGCTCAGCCTGCTTTTTTAAAGAACCCAGGACCACCAGCCTAGGGATGGCCCCACCCACAGTGGGCTGGGCCCTCCCCCAACAATTACTAATTAAGACAATCCCCTAGAGGTGTGCCTATACCCCATCTTATGGCCCCAGAACTAGATAAAATATTACTGGTGCGCTGCATCAGTACCCCACACCCCACTACCTTGTTATAGTAACCCCAGTTGGTGACTGCCCTATGAACCTCTCAGTGGCCATGTGTTGGTGGGCTAGATGGAGGCACAGACTGGGGATCTTAGGCCTCACTCCTGAGAAGGATGTACAGCTAGCTGCCTGTAAATTCGACTCCCTGACCTCAGCTCCCATTTTTCACTCCCGGGCTGCTAAGCAGGGCCCCAGATACTCCTTGTTCGATGGTGTCTCCTGTCTCCACCTTCTTACTCCTGGTTGGCATTATTCCCAAGACCTTACCATCTCCACAGACACTAGGTAGACAAGTGCTGACACCCAGGATGGGGCAGAGATGGGAGAGGCCGTTGTCTAACAATGCAAGAAGCCGCCTTATCTCTGAACTGGCTTGATTTCCTTCCTGGTTGGTCCACACTGGGTCTCCAGGAGGAATGGAAGGAAAGAACATTCAAGCCCCCACTTCTCCTTCCTTGTCTTGGCGCTGGGGCCTCAGCAATACAACAGAGTAAGGAATATAGTCATAGACTCCTGCCCTCGCCTTTCACAGCGAGGACAGCCAGCAGATATAGATAGGTGTTACATTTTAATTGTGAAGTGGTCCCCAAAGTATCACTTGGGGGCTCAGTCCCCAGCTAGTGGTTCTATTCGGGAGGTTCAGCTAGACAGAGCATAGCTGGAGGAAGTCAGTCACAGGGTGGTGTGAGTCTCTATGGGTGTCTTGTCCCTGGTTACTTCTTTTCCCTCACTATCCACTTCCTGTCAGCCATGAGGTGAAGAAGTTCCTCTTCTACATGGGCCCTGCTTCCATGATGCCTGCAAAAGTTCATGGAATCAAGAAGCCATGCTGAATCCAAGAATCCATGAGCCATGCTAAATCTTTCCTCCCTTAAGCTGTGAGTCTATGTTTGGTATTTTGTTCACCATGAGGAACTCACTAATATTGCTGGTCACCAGGAGTGAGAGATTTCTGACCAGCCCAAAATCAAGTTAAAGTTAATACTTACTCAGCCTCCATGAGAACCATGTAAATACTTGGGTTTGCAGTGACATCACCAATTGTGTCCCTAAGCCTGCTCTGACCTGGTCCTGGCAAACAAGATTAATGTGATTCTCTGTGGCAAGCCAGGGACCTTGGGACTGCTGTGGGACCGAGCAAGGAAAGAGTCCTACCCAGTCTTGATCCCCCAGCTCCTTCATGGACTAGTGCTCTCCAGGTGTCTATTATACTATTTATTTGTTTGCCTTGACTTATCTTAATGCCACAGATAGCTCTAGAAACTGGGGACATCCAGTTTGGATGGGGGAGATGACACCTGAAGACAGAAACCAAGGCTGCTCAGAAACAGCTTATGCTATATTTTGTTGAGTTTCAAGCACTCTGACTGAAATTCAAAGGTAGCTCACAGCAGGAATAAAGTCCTTCAGGAAGACAGGAGGATGTCCCTCAAAGAAATCAGTGGCTCTCCAGAAATGCAGAAACGTAAACACGAGAGAAGTCTGCAGCGCTGTCTCCCCGTGAGAGAGGCCATTCGTTATATGATGCAGGGGTTTGAGATATGTGTGCCCTGCGTGTGGACACGGCACACACTCCAAATCAAAATCCGCGAGAGCAGACCTTCCGAGTTACAGACTGTTTATTCGGGATCAAGCTGTTTCTCGCATGGCTGACTCAACACGGCTGGCTCCAGGGCGAGTGGCCTCTGAGAGTTAATTACTTAAAGATGGTTAATTGTTCCCTGGGTGATCCTGGGGAGGTGTATGGAAATGAGTGCTAATTACACCACAGCAGTCCAGCTATTTGCCCCGCATCAGATGCCACTCAGGGTCCTGTGCGGGATGCTTGTCCTGTATCCTCGCGTTTTATCTTCATAAGGACCCTCCAAGCGAGGTGTTTTCAAACACAAAAACTCGAGTTCAGAGGTACTGCTTGTCTTGGTCACAGTCACAGTTAAGAATGGGCGGCCCCCACACGGCCCAGGTAGGCTGACCTAAAGGCACTTACTATCAGCTGTGTTTGGTCACTAGGCTAAAGTTAATTACTATGACAGCTTGGAGCTTAGGGCTTGGCTGACCCCATTCCCTAGGGAAGCCCCATAGGCAAGGAGGAGAGTCCTCAAGCCCAGGGCAAGAGCTTGTGAGAGTCAGGGTTGTGTCAGATCTCGTGCCACAAACTCAAAGGTGTCACTTTCAGGACAAGCGAGAAAGACACTAAGGTCATGGGAATAGAGAGGGACTTGGTGACCTCCTTCTGGCATGGCAGCCTAGTCACAATCTTAACACCTGCGAGCTCACAGATATAAGTCACTCAAGACATTTGGGATGAGCTCCTACCCCTTGACAGTCCCTTATCAAGAATCCCTCTGGTCCCCTCTGTCACCTCTTACCTGCCAGCCTGTAGTACTCCAGAGATGCTGAAGAGCCCAAAGTCCGTGATGACCACTTTACCGTTGTCATAGAAAACGTTCTTTGATTTGAGGTCCTTGTGAAGGATGCCCTTGGCGTGGAGGTAGCCCATGCCCTGTAAGAGATGAGGAGATGGGACGCATTAGAGGAGACCCAGTACTTCCTTGTCGCCTTCCCTTGGATCCTCAAGAGTGGCAGAGTACAGCACCCCCCCCCCCATGGAGCTTAGGGGACAAAGGCTCTGTGAGTCACAAGGCCACCATCACCCACAGACCTCTGCAAAGCCATCTCCACAGAACCACTCTGCTTCCTGAAGAATAAAGGAAGTGCTCCAGGGGGAAAGAGTGGGGACACCGTCAAGGCTAGGGACACCAGAAAAAGGAATCCACTAGTCATTTTCCCTCATGAAGGGGCCTTGCTCTCTCTGTTACCTGGCCCACCACTCTGTAGAAAGGACCTGAGATACTTAGGAGGCATTTCATGACTCCACATCAAGAACACACAGGGACATCTACCAGCGATTCAGAGGTGGTTTTCACATCTTTTGGCCTTGGCGAGTGATTGCCGTGTCTTTATTACTTCCACGGATCACTCCTACCACTTCTGATTGGAACTGAAGCCTGAGCACAACCCACCAATGAGGCACCTGTCGGGACACTTAGGAGGTCTTCATCTAAGACAACAGCTCCACGTCTCCCGGGCAGTGGAGAGACAAGATGACAAGGGAATTCCAGGACTTGAGTATACCGGTTCCTAATGGTGATGATTTGAATCTTAAATGTCCCGCATCAGTGTATATTTTGAATGTTTGGTACCTAATTGGTGGTACCACATTAGAAGGTCTTGAGAGGTGGAGCCTACTGGAGAAAGTAGGTCGCTGGGGGCAGGCCTTTGGGGTAACATTGACCCTGGCCATTTCCTGTCTCACTTTTTGCCTCCTGATCTCCTGTGAACCATCTCTGACTCAGATTCCTGTCATCATGAACTGGGCTGCTGTGCCCCAACTCCCCTCCTTTCATCTGCTTCTAGCAGAGTGACCCAGAAGTTTCTGATACACTTTCCAAGGAACTGAGTGACTTTCTGTACCCACTGGCCACTGCCTGTACCCAGGTATCGTGACCATGCAGTACCAGCCAGAAAACAGAGTTTGAGGCAGTAATTTCTCAGGCTTGCATTTGACAGATTCATTGTACATACCACCTTGTATTTTTTTGGGGCTAAATCTAACGTCTTTAAGGTCCAGACTAGTGGTCTAAACCCAGACCCTGGGTCTTAGGATCCTGTGACAGGACTTCCAGAGGAGGCTGGGTCTCTGTAAGGCCCAGGTAGGGGGTCCCAGAACTCATGGTACCTTCACAATTTCTTGTGCGATCTGCCTGGTTTTGTTGACATCCAGGACAATCTTGGCATCCCTCACCACAGAGTAGAGAGTCCGACCCTTACAGAGGCTGCAAGGCAAAAGAACAAGGTCACTCAGGGAAATGGCTGGCAGTGGGGAGGAAGGTGGCCTGCAACAGTCATCAGAGTCATGAAGAGCTGAGAGGACATGTCACCATGACACCCATGTGACATTTACAGGCCTTGCATCAAACCCCAGAGCTGGTTCTGGGTGACAATCTGCAAAGAGGCCTTTGTAGATTCTTTAAGAAGATCAGATACTTCCTGCCATGTACACACCTGCAGATACAGCCAGGTCCAGCGCTGTCTGTGGTGCTGTCAAGGAGAATGGCCCCTCATAGATTTGAATGCTTAGTCACCCAAAAGCCTTAGAGGGATGAGGAGGTGTGGCCTTGTAGGAGGAAGTCTCTCACTGGAAGTGGGCTCTGAGGTTTCAAAAGCCCCTGCCAGGCCTAGCCCCGCCCCACCCTGTCTCTGCCTATGGATCAGGATGTAGTCCTCAGCTGTCACTCCAGCGCGTGCCTGCATGCTGGCATGCTCTCCTCCATGATGACAGTAACTGAACCTCTGAAACCACAAGTGCGCCCCCAGTTAAAGGCTTTCTCTTGTGATAATTGCCTCGGTCATGGTGTCGCTTCACAGTGACAGAGCAGAGGGTAAGACAGTGGGCCTACCATGTCCCTCAGCATAGGGTCTCTTTCTCTCTCCCCCGTGTGTGTGTGCATACGGTGCATGCATCTTATGTGTGTGCAGGCAGTTGCATATGTGTGTGCACAGGTGCACATGCACATGAAGGCCAGATGACAACGTTGGCCGTCATTCCCCGGGTGCCGCCCACTTTGTTTTTGTCGTTGTTGTTGTTGAGGTAGGACCTCACTAAGTTGAGACTCACTCAGTAGGTTAGACTGACTGATTAGTAAGTCCCAGGATGCTTTTCTGCCTTCCTAGTGCTGAAATTATATACATCTTCTTTTTTTTTTTTTTTTCATGGTTCTAGGAGGTTGAACTCAGACCTTCAAGCTTCTAAGGCTGGCACTGGAACAAATGAGTAACATCTCCGTGTCCCTTGCCCTTCCGGAGACAGACTCTCACTACATAGCTCAGGCTATCCTGGAACTCACTACATAGCTCAGGCTGGCCTTGCTCATGTCCTCCCGCTCAGCCTCCTAGCTGCTGGGACTCCAGGCCTGTGCCGTCGTGCCTGGCTCCAATCCAGCATCTCAAAGGAGAACTGTCACAAATCAATAACCTCAGACACCACTGAGACGGCACTGTCTGCCATCTGTCCCAGACAGGAGTCTCCAGGTGGGGACTGTAAAACCAGGGCTGCGGTGGTGCACAGAGCAGCCTGCAAAAGGCCCATTCAGTCTTTTCACCGGGGGGCGTGTCAAGAGAACAAAGCCACCAATCAGGCACCTGTCTGGGTGGAGGGTGTTCAACCCATTTGCAGGCTCTCTGAGTTTATTTCAAGGACTGGTAGTTTAAGAGGAATGATGGGAGGGAAGGACACTGCGGGGAGGGAGGGGGCGCAACACCTATTCACTCTGCAGCCTGCCTGCTCCTCCGTCTCAACCTTCCTGGCGAGCTATCTCCTGACATACACCGAAGAATCCCCAAGGGAATGAATGAGTGAAGTGAATGAACGAAAGAGTTAATTCTGTAGTCACTAGAGCATCCCCAGTCCCCAGAAGGCAGCATTGCCTAAAAGAAGTATGGAAGTCATTATGATAATTAATTTTCCATCTCTATAAAATTAACAGCTTGGATGCATTTCTTTTAATTTATAGCTTTATTGCTAAAGTGCTCCGGGAATGATGTTTCTTCCTCTGGTGTTTGCTCAGCCTTTGTTTCAGGCTGGACTTGTGTTCCTGGGGTAGAAACGAGAGTGCTGGTATCAGAGGACCCCAGTTCAAATCCTGGCTCTGAGTCTTGCTTACTGTAATATCTTGGGAAGGGTTACTCAGTCTCCCTGGCCTGGAGCCTCCTTTTGTACAACCTACATTGTACATTAAAATACAGGCTGAATGCAGTAAGAGTCTATCTCAGTGTCTGGCAGCCCCACTGATTAGGGGACAAGAGTTAGACCCTCTGAAATGAGGCTCCCGATCCGGCACATAGCAGCCATATAACCCTGAGTACTCCTGACACATATGTTAGCTTCTGCATCATAAAGTGGGGGTGACCCTTCCTGCCTCACCAGAACTCAGGCATGTAAAAATGCAGGTACCATTCCCTGCACTGCGCACAGTAGGTCCTCATGGCCCTTGCAGTCAATAAAACGGTGGACATGCACATATGTCGATGGAGGAATAACGTATTTATCTGTGTATCACCTCTGCCTGCCCACCCACCTACCAACCAATCTCTCTAGTGTGTCCATCTGTCCGTCCGTCCGCTTGTCCATCCGTCCATCCATCCCATCCATCCGTCCGTCCGTCCATCCATTCATCTATCCATCCATCCATTTATCCATCCATCCATCCCATCCACCCACCATCCATCCATCCATCCATCCATCCATCCATCCATCCATCCATCCATCCACCATCCCAAATGCTGCCTAGAGCCATGATCTTTGTTTCTTCACCTGCACAGGGCGAGGTTCCAGGAGCAGCTGACTCACAGGAGGTTGACTCACTCCTCCTAGGTCGCCCAGCCAGCACAGGGGCAGGAGGCAGTCTAAGATGACTCAAGGCTGCCCCCTCTTTGCCGCATAGCGGCGAGTTCGCCAAGCCTCTGCAGCAGAGGTGGAGGAAGGGCGGGTGGAGCAGACAATTTTGCTCTGTTGACATTTAAGGATCAGAGATGGAAGACTGTGGGTGGATTCTCTTTCCTGGACACCTCGCTCTCGAGCGGCCACCTACACTCATTCCAGACCAGAGCTCTCCCTGGTGCACACAGAGGACCAGGCTCCAAGACTGCCAGCATCTACGGCTCCGGGTGACCATGCGAAACCCTATCTTTGTTCATATGCCTTCCTGGCCACCATGGACAGTGTCTGCTCCCTGTCTTTTCATGTTCTCTGGGGTTGCTGACAAAGTAGCACTCCTGACCAGAGTAGACACTGGTGCAGCCATGATTTGGATCATCTTCAAAGCCAAGTACACAGATAATGCCTGGATACATGCCCAGCAGACACACATATCCACATTCACCCTCAAACTATAGCCTCATAAATTCTACTACTGGGAGCAATCTGTAAAGAGTCTCTGTCTGGTTCTCACACCCATGTCCTTGCCCCCACATGTGATAGCAGGCAGAGGTGTCAGCCAACAGAGGTGACTGGATGATGACAGGACCCTAAGAGAAGTTCGCCCAGAAAGTCATTTAGTCCGTGCAAGAACACAGTGTGAAGGTGGCCTTCTGCAACACGAGGAGTCCTTGCCAAAGCTGCCCTGTGCTGGCCCCTTAGTCTCAGCCTTGAGCCTCCAGACAGACAAAAGTTTCTTTTTTTTTTTTTTTTTTTTTTTTTTACAAATTCTTTCAGAGTTTATTCTGCACAAACACTGAAACAAGAAAAACAAGAAAAAGCATTTATTAAACAATTATTAAACTGCAACATTGTTATTGAATACAAACACTGATCTCTAATGAACTCATTTCTCTTGTGTTGAAATAAGAAGCGGCGGGGCTGCGTCCCCAACACCCTAGCCGCTTGGCTAGCTCATGCCCGAAATAACAACACACAAACTGTATTCATTTAACTCTTGGCCCATGAACTCTAAACCTTACAGACTAATTCTCGCACCTGGACTAGCCCATTTCTAGTAATGTTTGTAAGCACCCCAAGGTGCGCTTACCAGGAAGATTCTAGCCTATGTCCATCTTCATCGCGTGTGCCTCAGAGAGCAGAGCTATCGCGTCTACCCGGGAGAGCTGAGCATGGCGTCTCTT